TATTTATTTTTTAGTTCTCGGCGGACACAACATCTTTGCTGGTATGTGGTGCTGAGGATCGAACCCGGGCCGCACGCATGCCAGGTGATCGCGCTACCGCTTGAGCCACATCCCCAGCCCAGTAAGAGTTGCTTTAGGTAACTGGGATGGTCCCAGGGGACCTAAGGACCTAAGAGAGGTGACAGCCACAGCACATCAATCAGACCTCAGCGCAGAGGTTCCCCGTGGAGACAGACGTTATCTTGGCTGTGGTTCCAGTGGAATATGGGCTCTTCCCTCCAGGACTCGGCGGCTGATCTGTTGGAAACAGGGAAAGGTTTCATAGTAAACCAACCACCTGAGAGGCAGGTGAGAGTGTCCTTAAAGGAAGCAATGGTGTCTCACATACCACCATACTGCTCACACCACAGATCAGACAAACACATGAGGTGGGGGAGAATCTGGGTCCACCCAGCTTGCAGACCCAGCCCAGAGCTTTTTCCAAGACTAGGGATAGGGTAAATAGTGAGCACGCCAGGCTTTGAGAATCTTGTGCCTCACTGTGTTTCCTACTATGACTTCTCCCCCTGAAAAATGTCAAAACCATCTTGGCTTCAGTTGGTAATTTGCCAATCTTGGTCAAAGACACTACCAAGACATTTTGCCCAGAGCATCAACTGAGCTTTTACTTCTGTTACAAGAAGAGAATGTTAAGAATGTTAGTCCCGACATCCCTTGTCTCTCACTCAGCCAAAATACGCAGGTGATGACACCTGAATAGCTAACACGGAACCGTGCCCCCTCACTGCTGACTGTGACCACATGGGTTCTAAGGAAGGAAGTGACCCCTCTTACTTGCCACGTTGGGGCTAGAGCGATGGTCAGCTCTGTTTTTCATCAGTCTGTCATCTGGCAATTTCTTTGGCTCACTGTACTCTGCCCAGGGCAGCTGAGGACTCTCTGGCGACCCATTTTGAGCTGAATTATTATAGAGCTCAAAACCTTCACTCTTTGGTCGGGGTTTACCTGAGCCACGTCGATCTGAAACTGAAATGAAAGTACATTCAATATCTCTTCATTGGTTGAAAGATCTTAGACACCTTGTTTAGCTTTAAAAGGAAGATAAATTCTAAAAATATTTAAATTTCATAAGAACTTTTCCCAGCAAGAAAATAGTGATTTTTTATGTAAAGGTAGATTTTTTTGTATAGAACTGTTAAAAAGCTTTCAAATAAAAATCCTGAGAATATAGAAAGCATCTCACTTAACCAGTATCTACAGAAAAAAATATACTTCTAAAATTCTATTCTCATCAAATGACACCCATGTAAATAACCCCTTCTAAAGTAAATTTAAAAATCAGGAGACAAATGTGGTCTGCTTGTTCCTCAAGATTTGCAAATGGTCTTGTCACTGGATCGCTGGGGTCAAGGCATTGTTACGGTGCCAGCTGTCTGCGTCCCATGTTCTACCTGCTGCCGACTCTGATCTGCTGTGTGCACTTAGGGGCTTCCCTCTCTGGCTTCTAACTCAAAGTCTAGTTTGCTTGTGTCCTGTTGTAGGGGGTGGGGTCAAATGTAAGAGGCACACAGAGGCAAGGCTCATGATGAATGTGTGGTTAGCTGGGGTGCCCTCCCCGCCTGCTGGCTTCAGTAAGCAAAGGCGCAGACTGCCAGGGCCTGGCATGCTACTTCCAGCTACAGATGTCAGGTTCTATGGAGAAGAGGGCTCTGTGAAGACCACAATTCACAAGCTGTGCACATATTAAAAAGGGTATTATTTCAGAGATCTGGAAGGTATGCGATGACTTCAGAGAGTGAGTCATTATGTTTTTCTCCTTGAGGTTTCTGAAGGGATTCTTTAAAAAGCCTTGAGTTTATATTAATTTCATCATGAGATGTTTTTGATGTAGTTATACAAACACACTTCCCACAAATAAATTATTTTAAAAACTGAATTCTTAATTTAAAGTGAATTACATACACTAAGATACATAGCTTACTTCAGCACATGTGTGAACATTCCTTCAGTAAAGAATGCGCCATGTCCTTTAAGGACCTCCCACCCTAGGCTTGCCTATCAAAACTGAATCTTTACTCACTCAAGACTGGCTAAGCACCTATTTGCTCCTGGCCTACAGAAGCTTATCAGCAGCACGGGATCAGCTCCACGGGAGCAGAAAGGAACTGGAGGATCAGAATGGGCTCCCAGGGCAGGTGGCACCATCTGAGTCTTGCTATTGTGCTTTCAGCCTTGACATCCTTATTTTCAAAAATGAGACAGTGATAATACCAGCACTGGTTCTGCTGTAACTACTAACAAGTCATGTCTGATACATCTAGCACACAGCATAGGGTCAGCAGAAGCCAGCTGTCCCTGGTCAGCGAGCACTTCATGGTCCTTACTTCTCTGCATCATGGGGGATGGCTGGTTGAGGAGGGTGGCCAGGCCGTGATAGATGGCACCTTGCTTTGCTACCTCGAGTGTAACCACGGAACTTGTTCTTGTCATGAGTTCTGCTGCCCTGGGAAGAGAATGTCACCAGTGTAAGAAAAATGAAACCATATTCACTGTCACTTTGTCAGCCATGGCAAACACAGCCACCAATCATGTCACCCAGCCTCATATGCCATTTTGGACAATTCTGACTTTCAAATTACCTTCTGCCACTTCCTTCCTTTGAAAAATGAACCATAAATGCATGCTAACATATCCCCTAATATATTAAGATAGTAAGATTAGCTGGGTGTGTGGTGGCATAGCTCTCTAATCTTAGCTACTTAGGAGATTGAGGCAGGGGAATCCCCAAGTTTGATGTCAACCTGGGTATTTAGTGATACTCTGTCTCCATTCCCCCACCCCCTGCCAAAAAAAATAAACAAAATAAAATAAATGGGGCTATGGATGTAGCTCAATAGTAGAGCACCCCTGGGTTCATTCCTGTATTTCAGAAAGTATTGAGTGTGTGTGTGTGTGGGTGTGTGTATCTCTAGTTTACAAGAAAGTATTCTAGACTAAAATATATAGTTATAATTTGATAGCAAAGGAAATGTCAAATATACTAGGAGTTTACACTTAAAATACTGTAGAATAATAAGGGCACAGAGCTTTTTAGCTTTCATCTCCCAATTTCAAAACTGTATGTGAAAATCACATAAAAACATTAAGCTTTCAAATAATCCATGGGTCATACCTTTCCTGAGAGAGCCCCACCAGACTGCGTCCATCCACACTGAGGAGCTGGTCTCCTGCTGCTAGTCGTCCATCCTGGCTCACCATGCAGTGTGCAGACACATTATGGGAGAAGAGAAGCAGTGTGAGCAGATTGGCTGTCCCCCTAGTCCTGCCCAGTCCCGCTCAGCCAGGGGCACCAGCACATAGCACCCATCCCGTCCATCAAGCACAGGACATCAAAAGCCTGCCTCCTCAGCAGTGATACTGACCACATCTGCAGCGCCTCCTTTCACGACAGACTTGACATAGATGCCCAGTTTATCCTGGCCAGCGCCCTACACAAAAACAAGGTAAGAAGCTGAGTGCACAGCAGGAAATGAAATGGCCAGCAAAGTGCAACAAACCAAAAGTTGCCATGAGCACGCAGAGAGCTGCACTTCACTCCAGAGCTCTGAACTACTTCAACAGAATCAATACTCCACTTGCTACATCTGAAGAAACTACAGAAAATATTTCTACTTTTTGATTCCAAATTTGGAAGATAGAAAAAAGCTCCTGAAAAAAATCAATTTTCATAAATCAGCTGATAAGACTGAAATGGACTTAGAATCCTGAACTGACCAAGAAGGGTCCAAGCAGCTCGCAAGTCAATCATCAGCACTCACATGACACATGCTGTTAATCACAGGGCAGGATTTCTATCCTCTGCAATTCACCCTTACACCCATGTTCTTTTCAAAATTTTAAAAAAGAAAATGAGTTTTTTTTTTATGGTCAATAAGAGGGACTTAGGTAGTATGAGGAAAATTATGCATTAAATACTGTAACTTACACTTTGTAACTCTAAACAAATAGTAAAGCTACAAAACCCAAGCCATATAAAATTGTTACATTATTCTTTCATAATAAAATGACACATACTTAAATATATGTATAATTATAGAATCATCTATATTCTACTTAGACATCACAATTACAAGATAAAAATTAACACCAGATAGTTTTCTAGGATCATCAAAGGAACAATTACACATGAAATCTTATTTGGGTATTACTGACATTCTATGATTGAGTACATACATTTTTAAGCCATGACAAAGGTAAATTCATATCCACTTAAATACTTAGGAATTATTACATCATACAAGAAAGTATATAAGATACCACAGAAAGGGAAAAAACAATGATTTTAGCAAGTCACTTAATTAAAATAGATTTTTTTACAAGACCCTGTGATGATGCAATTTTCAGTTGGAAACTATCCACATTTCCCCCATTTGTTAACAATTTCCTGTCCCATGTCTACAGCTGCATTCCCCCAGTTGCAGGGAGCCCCGTAAGGTAGCCCAGCACTGGAAAGTAATCACTCTCCACGACAGCCACAGAAGCCTCCCTGGAGCAGGGCAAATCCTGCACCTTTCAGACAGAATGAACCCATACTAGGTACCCAACAAATGGCAATTTTCTGACCTCAGACAGTCACTTAGCAAAATCAGTAAACTATACTTTTTACCTGACCTCTCCTGAGCAGGTACCACCTTCCTTGGTCAGGGACCCAGGAACACACAAGACCTGACTTCTAAAACCTCACCTGTGCATGTACCACCTTCTTTGGTTAAGGGGCCCAAGGCACATACAGGACCTGACTTCTTTTTTTTAATATATATATTTTTTTAGTCGTAGATGGACACAATAACTGTATTTTATTTTTATGTGGTGCTGAAAATGGAACCCAGTGCCTTCCACATAAGAGGTGAGCACTCTACCACTGATCTATAACCCCAGTCCAGGACCTGACTTCTAAGGCAGCCCCAGCTGCTGTTAAACTGGGTTAATGATCTAATTAGTCCAAGTGTCACATATTGATATCTTTGTGAGATACAAACAACTTCTTAATTGCACAACACAGCTGTTCAAATGACCATTCTGCTCATTCAACAAGCCTCCCTTGCGTGCCCCTCCTGCCATGAACTCTTGTGTTTGCACATGTGAAAAGAGACATGGCTGCCTGGATGGAGCCTACCTGCCAGGAGGGTCTCTGCTTGCTTGTAGGCATCAATCACTCTGCCAGGACACTGAACCCCCTTCCTTTTCTGATACTGCTACATAACTGTTTCGTTACTTAGGCCAGATTTTTTTTTTTTTTTGGGGGGGTAACCAGGCTCAGACCACTGAGCCACATCTCCAGCCCTATTTTGTATTCTTTATTTAGAGACAGGGTCTCACTACGTTGCTTATCATCTTGCTTTTGCTGAGGGTGATTTGAATTCACCATCCTCCTCCCTCAGCCTCCTGAGCCACTGGGATTACAGGCCTGCGCAACTGCGCTGGGCTCAGATTTTTTTAAAGTTCTAAAACAAAGACTTTGTTGTTCTGTTTCCTGCTTGACTGATAGAAAAGCAATGCTTACTGAATGTCAGAATACCACTGCTGGTGGGAATAGGCTCTTACTTACCCATGTTTTCATGTAGTAGTATCTTTTGATTAATACAACACTGACTTTGTACTTTAAATAATAAAAACTATCCTCATGTGCTAGCAATAGGAGTATTTTAGTAAAAATAACAAACATATTTTAAAAAAATAAATCAAGATTCCTTTCCCCATTTCTGGTATGCTTTAGAATATTGCCATGAATATAAAAGACCCTCAATTGCCTACTTAGACAAACTGTAATAAGATGACTCTTTATAACATAACAGCTCTGCTCTGCCTCTGCCTGTTGCCCATCTGCAGGGGCTCCTTGGTACTCAAGCTCATCTAGGAAGGGCCATGTTCAATCAATCTGACATTCAGGAATCACAGCCCAAGGACTCCATTAAACCTACTACATCAAAATGACATTCTAGACATCTACTACACATGGTGAGGTTACAGACCCCATGTTCGTCACAAGTACATCTAAGTAACCTAAAATCCTGTGCTGCTTTAATTAGGCAACTTACAATATCACACACAACATGAAATCTGCAAGTCCAAATTTAAATATTAAAGTAAACTGATCATGAATTTCAGAAACCTCCAGCAAGACCAGGACGCCGTCTTGCAGCAGAGGTGTTTGCCTCTCCACTGCCAATCTGCCTCTCCTAAAGCCTAGTGGGAACCATCTGACCTGACCAGACTTCTCCATGGTCACAAGCTGCCTCTGCATAGGCACTTGAGGCTCCCCAGCTCGGGTTCAAGTATCATGCTCCACGTCACCCTACGCTGACTCATGTTCCTGATGTTGTCATTCTCTCCACACAAAACATCCTTCTGATGCCATGAATCTGCCCAGATTCATTCGACCCCTAGGCTCACCTGCCACCCACCAGCTGCCATCTCTTCTCATTTGTGCTCACATGGGGTTTTCCATGTTCCCCTGGAGTGCGTATTTACTGGGATAAGGAGTCTGAAGTTTTAATGAATGGATGAATACTTTAATAAGTGAAGAAGGAACAAATACATGTCTATTACATAGGAATTAGCAATACATCTTCGTAAAATTAGTTTAGAAAGTTAGAAAGCCTAAGCGTATCAGATGGTAGATGAGCTCACTTCCTGTGCAGCTCAGTCACATACCTTCTGTAAAAATCTGTGAACACAACTGCTGTAGAGAATTTACAATGCCTCTGGTGGTTATTTCAGAAAAACAAAATTATAGAGGAGTAGCTTGAGATGAAAGACCACTAAGGAATTTCTGATCATCTACATCAGAGCATAAGGATAGTTACTTTCATCCCCAATACCATACTGTTGGCCCAACTATAAGAGGCTCGCTGTGTCAATCTGGCCACAGTAGTCCTGGTCTGACAACCTGGACAGCAGAGAAAGAAGCCAGACATACTGGAATGGACAGCTACTGGACAGGTGTAAAGGAAAACCCAACTGCTGAGCCCTTACAATTCCTTAGCTGTAGGGAGCCCCCTTACTACCTGCCCATTTCATCTGAATAGAAATAACACGTTTGCCTAGGATAAAAAATATGTAAGATACAATTCATTAAACCACTTAATTTATGCCCAATTTCTAAATAGTAATGCACAATATAACCTGGCCCAAAATTTATTATGTGATACATTAGCTTCTATTTTACACAGACGCAAACGTGATTAACTCAATCTATGGTAGTTCTATCCCTTTCCCAGTTGGGGAAGGAAAGTGAGGTGCAGAAGTTATGCCTTCTCTGCCACTGCATGTTAGCAAACAGCACATCAGTCACTAAAGCTGAAAGCAGAAGCTTTGTACATACCAACTAGAAGCCAGTTCAGGAACATACAGCAGGTTATGGCTGTTGGTGGACTGGTATCCGTCAGCCTACAACCGTGCCATCCAGTACAACCCTTGAAACATGGCTTTAGAATAGGCATCTGAGTATAAGACACTGAGATTTCAAGGCATGTTTGGAAATACTGACTTTTACGCTGATCACATGCTAAAGCAACATTTTGAGTGTAGTAAATAAAATGAAGCATTATAAAAATGAATTTCACTTGTTTCTTTTTTAAAAAATATAGCTAATAGAAAATTTCTAATTACCGATGTGGTTCACAATATATTTTTATTGAACAGTCCTGCTCCGAAATTGAAGGATTTTCACAGTATGTATGCTATCAGTAACCAGAGTAACTAGTAATGAAATTATAATTATGCAGATAACTGGTCAAAATAAGATCTTATAGCAACATACACAGAAACATTATGCTCTGGTTTCTAACCATGAGAAAAACAATGAGTGCTATTGTAATTGAGAACACGACACAGTAGAGCAATACATAAGAGCTAAACAATATTAAGAAGTTATTGCCTAAAGGTACCTAAGATGGTATTTAAAAATACTGCATTTTGGTCTACTTATTATTTGCAAAATTAACATCACAACCATTTAGGATTACCCACTACTCATTCAACAGGCCGGTTCCCTTACACAGTAAGCAGGACATGCCCTCTCCCTGATTCCCAACAGGGAGACTGACAGGGGACACATACAGGGGTCAAGGGACACAGAGATGCCACCCACAGGGGATCTGCATCCCAAGCTTAAAATGCACTGGTAGCCACTCTCCTTCTCAGAGGAAAGGGGCTTTGAGGAGAGAGAGAAAGAAGGGCAGAGGGAGAAGAGGGCGCAACAGAACCTCAGCTCAGCTTTACCTCTAGACGGTCACACCCGAGTACAGCAGAGCAAACGCACAACCAGAAGACAGAAGTAACTCCACCTCGCCACCGTGTATTGCCTAGCTGCGAGACTGCACTTCCAGCCGCCTCAGCCGAGGAGGGGAAGGCTGCTCCCCAGGCCTGCTCTGGCTCCTCACCTGCCTTCTCAGAAGCGGGCAAAGGCACCCATCCTCTGCCTTAG